CGGTTCCTGGTGGCGCTGCCGGCTCCCAGGCCTCGGAGGTGGGCAAAGAAGAAGCCGTGCCGACGGGTGACGATGAGCCGGGGCTGGTCAGCTCGTTTCTACCCGCCGATCACCTGGCCTACACAGTGCACCACCAGAAGCAGTCTTCTCAACCGGCCAGCTTCGGGCCACCCCATGGCTTGAGCAACATTGTGCATTTCAGGTGGGCCTACCTTCTAGTCACTTGGTAGTACGATATACTCAAAAGGTATATATTTAGCATGTAAACAGGCCATAATCTCAGTCCGATATACTCAAATTGCATGTGAGTAGAATATAAACGGTCTCGGCTAATATGGCCGGCACTTTGTTTGATATAATTAAATGGCATTTGAGTAGTATGTAAGCAAACCCAACTTATAGGGCAATAAACTTTGTTTTATTTTTCTCATTTTCATATACGCATATAGCATATAAATAGCATATGGGCAGATTCAGATTGTAGCGATAAGTACTCAGTTCGATTTACTCAAAATGCATATAAGTAGCAGACTCGACTTATAGGGCAATCACATCAGTTCTATATATTCTAATTGCATGTAAGAAGCATATGACAAACTCGTCTACTATGACAATCCCATCAGTTCGATATATTTTCAACTTGCATATGCATAGTATGTAAGCAGATTCGGCTTGTAGGGCAATACACTTTGTTTGATTTATACATTTCGATATACTCATATGGCACATCAAAAATGGCATGTGATTATAGGGCTATCCACACAGTTCGATTTACTTAAATAGCATATAAATGGCATGTTAGCAGATTCGGTGTATAGCTTTGCAACCTCAGTTCGATGTACTCATATTGCATTTAAGTGGCAAGTATGCAAACTCGGCTTATTGGGCAATAACCTTTATTTGATATACACACTTCGATATACTCAAATAGCATATAAGTAGTATATAAGCAGACTCTGCTAATACATCAATCACCTCATTTTGATATACTCAAATTTCATATAAGCAGCATGTAAGCAGACGCGGCTTATAGGGCAATCACCTCTGTTCTCCATACTTTAATGGCGTATAAGTAGCTTGTTAGCAGACTCGGCTTATAGCGCGATCACTTCTTCATTACCATTCAACCCTATAAAATGCAGCAACCTTTTGCACGAAGGATAATTTTATTTAAGCTACACCGTATTTTATGGTTGATAAGTCGTAAATAAATTTCACTCTTGCGTTTCTTTCTCGATGTTAATTTCAAAATGCAGCTTGCCTGCAGAAAATGCAAAGAATTCGCCCTGTTATGCAGAAAATGCTTTCTTTCTGGTTGTTATCTTGTTCTTGGACTGCAAAGGGCAGCACCTGGTGTCCAGTTTCGTGTTTGCCGACCGACTAGTTTTTGTTAGGCAGTCTTTCTCGCACACTCTCTGACCAAGTCCAAAATGACCCACTGTGTTGTTTGTCTATCGTGCCCTGAACAGCTCTCGGAAACTCTGTATCACGGGCCGTTTCCTTGGGGCCATATGAGTTATCTGTGAAACTCCTTAGGACAAGTCAAAATGAAGTCCTTGAAATTATCGCTTGCGCGAACGAATAAACATGTCTGTACTCATATTTGGTGGGTAAACCTTGCATCAGAGCTGCATTCACCCTATATCTCAT